TCCCTTGATCCATCCAATCAACCAGCCAACCGTCCATCCAATTAGCCAGTCAACCTTTCAACTGACCAGCCGTTGCTCACTCCACAGCTACTGCGTGCTGGGCACTGGGCTAGGCTCTGCAGATGCAGCAATGGCCCTCAAGATACTCGTGGTCTACTGCAGGATATAGAAAATCATTGACTAAAGGAGTGAGCGAGCAAGCAAGTGAAGGAAAGGTAAACATCCCTTACATACCTGGACGGGGCAGCGTGTGGGCTGGCCATGCTGGCAACCCTGCTCTTCTTTGAAGTTCAGATCTCATACTTCTAATTATGACTCCAAATTATTAAGCTTTTTAATTTCCACATAAAAATATCTAGGAGCTAGCTTCTAACATCTGCACATTTACAGAACGCCCTTAATGCACCATCGTTACCGCCAGACAGAGGAATCCGCAAGAAAACAGACCAGATCCAGATAGTCGCTTTGCTGATGTTTATTGCTTTAATGAGGAAAGCTACAAACAGGCTTTGAGCAATGAAAACCGTTCACATTGTACAAACATGTTCTATCAACACAGATCACGAGGACTATGAGGAATGTTGTGAGAGATTGCCCAAATGCTACTCATCCCCCATTGAGAAATTCCAAGACACTTCTGTTTTATTTATTTTATAAAATAATCACAGAAATGGCAGGAAGGATATTTAAATATTAAGTCACAGTCTGAGAATAGATATATACATACGTACCCAAACACATACACGTATATTCAGAGAGACATAGTCGGTCACCATGATATTCATGACTCTGAACTTGGTGGGGTCACTGAAGCTCTTTTTCATCAAGATGAGACTTTATAATAGTCATAAAGCTGCCTTGCTCCTCGACAACCCATGTGCACAGAATGGGGTGCTGACGAGATTGCAGGCCTTGGACCCCATTGTCTTCGATCACTCTCAGAATCTCTTCAGGTTAGAAATGATTGTTGTTGGCAAATCATTCTTGGAAAGGTTGTGCTTTTCAGATGAGGGCAGGCTACCTACAGGGCTTGGTGACAGGAGAGGGTTTGAGTATGAGATTAAGCTGAGTTCTCTGCCCACTCTCCCACCACAAGCTGCTAAGACTCTGGGTGAATCGCCTAACTCTTGAACTTGACTCTTTTTAATGATCTTGAATTCTTTTATCTCTAAAATAAGGTTGATGATAACTATCCATGTTCGCAAATCTTCTCCATGAAGATTAAGATGTGGCAGTAAAGCACTTGGCCCAAGGCCAGGCAGGAGCTGATTGTGACACTCAGGGCAGAACTGTCCCGTAGGGTCAGCTTGGCTGTAAATCTTTAAGGAAACAGAGTGTCTTGTCTGTCTCCCATAGGGCTGCTGGTGAGTTTGAACCACCAACCTTTCAGTCAGCAATAGAATTTCTTTGACCATTTTGCCTCCAGAGCTCTTAACATATGATGAGGACTCACTAAACACTTAAAATAAATTTTAGCAAAAACTAGTGGTTTTGTGAATCCTGGTCTCCTTCCTTCCCCAACACTCAGCATGTCTAAGTGTTGTCCAAGTATTAAGGTGAACTTTTCACAGTGGCCCGTCATCTCTGTACCTTTGTATCAGCTCAAGGGACCGGCATGAGTGTGGCGTTCGCACCCATGTCGACGCTCACATGGGCTGGAGACACACCAGTGAGTCCCTCAGGCCCTGTCAGAGAGCAGACTGTGCTGGGCCATGGGCTTCACTGTCTCCTGCTGACTTCTCAGGTTTTTAAGTCTTGGGAGGGACCCCTGGTGGTGTTGTCCATAGGGAATTGAGATAATAACCCAAGGTGGTGCCTCTCTGTTGTCCCATCCACCAGCAGCCCCAAGGGAGAAAGTGGACAATCTTCTCCCATGTGACTTACAACCTCTGAAACTCCACTGGAGAGTCAGCTGTGAGTTGGTTCTGACACAACTGCAACGAGTTTTTAATTTAGTCTTCAGATTCCCACGTATAGAATGGAGAAAGAGGTGCTTCTTCAAAATTGCTGTGAGGATTAGCACAGCGACCGAGCCCAGCACAGCGCGTGCCACCCTGTAAACAGGAGGCTGGTTTTGTTGCTGCCACTGAGGTCCTTACCCTTGACGTTCACCGAGGCCGACCGCACCTTTGCAGGATCATTCTAATGCTAGAAAGAGCTTCTTTATGGCACACTCAAAGCTCCGTCCTCCTCACTTCAACCTCATCAGTGTGAGGGTTCCTCCGGGCCCTGCACAGAACAGATCTGATCCTTTCTCAAAGCCGAGAGTGACTGCTGCCCTGGTTCACCTGCCTCTGGGCACCGCCTCTGCTCTTCCAACGCAGGTCCTGCCATCCTGGAATCTACTCTGTCTCCCTGTCAGGGATGCAGAGAGACATAGGAATCTCTCTTGGGTTTCCACTGAAGAAGACGAGCTATTCTGTCATCTATTATTACTATGTCAGGCTATCTGAGTCTCAGAAGGCCCAACGAGACCCACACGGGCTTACAGAAGGGATAGCATACAGGCTAGATTCGCCCCATACAAGAATTTTTGTAAAAAAATAAACAAACATCTCTTTAAATATGAAGTGTCTTTTTCAATGGCACGTAAAATAAAATTTAAGATAGAAAACCAAACCCGCTCCAATCAGTTCCAATAGTGACCCAGACATGGGAGGGGGGCTGCCCACGGGCCTCCAAGCCTCCGAGGCAGTGACTCTTCTGACAGCAGCTGGTGGAGTTGAACACGAAGCTTTTGCTTAGCACCCCAATCTTAGCCTATGCCACCAGCACTCCTAAACTACGGCTTAGATGATAAAAATTAAATTTTCACAGAACGCTGGAGGAAGAAAGCTTTTGAATAAAGCAAGGAATAAAGCTATTTCATTTGTTCGTGAAACACATATTGAGCACCACGGTATGCCTTGCACAGGACTAACGTCCAGTCAAGTGGAAAGTGGGCAGGACCCAGTCCTTGTCTCCTGAGACCCCACCCCCATCCCCGTGCACCACAGACAATCCGCTCACAAAGAGCTGCTCACGATTCGCTAAGTCAAATATGCGTGTGACACTTTGGAGGAAGGAGTGAGCTGCGGGGATGCGTGGCTCTCTGTCCCACAGGTCTTTCTGCCTGAGTTTCCACGTGATCTGCAAATCATACACTCTCTTCTCTTGAGCCAAGAGCTCGAAAACAATGGAGTGAGCGAGACATGAGTGTGAGCAGTCTCCTTTCACTAGATCTTCCGTTCTGACATGTTTTGGAGACTCGAAAAGAACGAAGAAGTACGAGCTTTGACGCCTCTTTCCCCATTTTGCCAGCTGTGTGATTCATCAAAGGACTTTTATCTCTCTGGGTTTCTACTTCACATTTGTAAGAACAGAATTAAAAACAAGGCTGTGTTGCTTCCAATTCATAATGACCCGATGTGACAGACTAGAACAGCCCACTGCTGCCTCCTCCTCCCTCACAGTGGCTGGTGAATTCAAACCAACAACCTTTCCAGAAGAAGCCTGGCACTCAATCCACTGAGCCAGCAGGACTCCTTTGTAAGGGTAGGTAGCCATGGTCAGCTCACAAGGTTGTTGGAAAGTCTTATTGGGTGAATCTAGGTAAAGAGCTAAGACCAATGTCTGGCACAGAGAACCCATTTAAGAAAAGAATTGTTACAGTACGGATGTAGACTTTCCCAGTAAAAGGAAGCTAACTTTGGGGTCTTAGTGGTTCAGTGGCTAAAGTGCTTGACTGCTACCTGAAAGGTTCGACACACCTACCATCACTCCATGGGAGAAAGATAAGGTGGTGCGCTTCCAGAACAGTCACTGCCCTGCAAACCTATCAGGCTAGGAGTCAGGAAAAATGGCAGGACAGTAAGATGGTTTGGGGTTTTGGTTTTTAGCTTCAAACATTTATTAAATACACTTCTGGTTTTAGATACCTGGCAAACCTGCCTTCATAGCAGGAAGCTGAGTTATTTTGGTCATTAGACTCAAAGGCCGTGAAATGGGGTCACGGTGGCCGAATGAGACATATGTTGGGCCCAAACACTGTGGTTCTTTGGTCTCCTGCTGGAGCTACCCCAGGCCATGTGGCATGGACACTCTCTTGTCTGGCCCACCCCCGACTGGGACCTGCCTCAGTCATTCCAATGATGCGATCCCGGGCTTCCCAACAACTCGCATGAGCTCTTCTCCAGCAGGGAGAGGGCCTGGGTGCAAGAAATAGCCTGGTCCATCGATGGATGCCCATTGGTTGGCAGTGACACAAGCAAAGGTCAACAGACCCTTCCCCAGAAGGGGTTCCAATGAGCAGCCCTCGTCATATCCCTGAAATATCAACCGAGGGCTGTTTGTATGACTAGGAATAGACTCTATCAAGTCTCATTCATGAATGGTGGATCATTCAGATGTGAGGACTGACCCTCAACAAGCCACAGCTTGATGGATACAGTTTTCCATTAAGAGAAAAACAAGCCATTCATCTCCCCTGAAAAGTGCTGGATGACTGTAGAGAGCACACACCATTACTATCAGCTAAACCTTTCATGTGTTATGATCAGAATGACCTCCTGGGGCGTCCCTCAGCAGGACTCAAACAATAGAGTATTCTCTTGGCCTGCACCTCATCAATCCTTCTGCATGGACCCAAAGCGGCTGGTAGCTTGGCACCTAAAAGAGGGCTTCGTGATACTGAATGTCTAGCTGGTTCTGTTCCTTGGGACTCAGGAAAGATCCAGCAGAACTGCCAATAACTTGAATGACTGGGTCAATCCTAGAGTTGTAGAGAACTGCAGACAGGCACGCCTTTGGACATGGAAGGCCAGGGAGATCCCCAGACAGTTCTTGGGCATGCCATCATTGGTCATTTAGGCTGTTGGAGATAAAAAAGGAGGCAAAAAGATGAGGATCGGCTTCTAGAGGTGAGTAGAAAGTGGATGAAAGAAGGCTCAGTTGTGGAAAGGTGTTGGCCACAGCGGTCTGGTGCTAGCTCTGGGTGAGGCCCTGAGCTCCTGGTCTTGGGCTTAATTGGCAATTTCTGAGAAGTCTGGGTAGGATTCCAAGTCTGCAAAGATGTCATTGGGGTTCCTACAGCTCAGGTTGCAGAAACAAGCATTGATCCACAGCATCTGGCGAGAGAAGCCTGGCCCATCAGGACACTGGAAGTAGACGTCGATGGTCTTGGACTTGTAGGGGATGCAGCACCTGTTGTCTGTGCAGACCCCACAGTACTTGGGTCTGTAGGAGCGAGTGCTGACACAGCCCCCCAGGGTGAAGTTCATGGGTGCTTCTGGCTGATACACAGCCAGACACTTCTTCCCCGCCTGCAGGAGAGAAGAGGGACTTTCAGTTGGGATGCTCAGGGATCTTCTGCCTTTCTCCTGCCAAACCCTCATATCTCCTTTCTCATGGACTATGTAGTGTTCTACCTGACTTTGTATTCTGTCATCTGTAAGTAAGAAAAGACCCTTGCAAATATAGAGTGCAATGGTTAATAGCTAGTGTCAACTTGGCCACAATTCTCAGTATAATGTGACTACCCGATGTATTGTAAATCCTAGTCTCTAGGATGTTGATGATACAGGATTAGAGACAGTTGTGTACCAACATCATCAGCCTGACCTGATAAAGAAGACACCTCCTCGGGTGTGGCCCTCATATTAAATAGATCACAAAGCCAGCTAGCTCTTTTCCCACTTTGTATCCTGCATCTAGCTTGTCACGTCTGGACTGGAATCGTCCTTTCTTACTGACCTTGGACTCAGCAACTTTCAAAGCCAGCAGTCTGTTGCTTTGCCTGTCAACCAAGGGTTTGTCAGTTTCTGCAAACACTCCTCTCCGAAGGTCTGGCTCTTGTCAGCTTCTATAAGCGCATGAGCCATTTCCTCAAGATAAGCTCTTCTCCCTCCACCCCTCCCCATCTTCCTCTCCCAGGCTTCACTGATCTGGCTTCTCTGGAGAACACTACCTAAGACAGAAGGGTACACTCAGGGCCAAGGAAGGCACTGCCTTTGCTTGGGTTGCATCTCACAGCCCGCACCTCCCTGTCCCTCGTTTCTGCGCCGTTGCCTAGCTACAGCTCAGTCATTCATAGTTTGATGATACTTTCTCAGCTTCAGGGAACCTTCAGCGAACCAAGCTCCCCCACTAGTCAGTGGCTATACAGCACAGACGCCATAATCCAGGGACCTGCTCTACCTGTCCCTCCTCTTCCTCAGCCTTCTACACTCTTTTCCACATACCCTTACAGTGCAGCTTAAGAACAGGGTTGCTGTTGCTTAGAAATAGCCCTTTCCCCACCTTGGGCTGTGGGTTATGACGGAGCTTCTTGGCATCTTCACAGAGAAGCGTGTTGAAGGGTCTCTGGCCTCTCTCTTTGGTGTCCTTGACTCTAGCAACATGGCAGTCATGGAACACTTCACAATGCCCACATCCATTACTGCCTAGCACAACTATCAGGAGGGGGCTGGGTCACTCTCATTTCACCAGTGACCCTGACCATGAAGTTCAGAAGCCAGGCTCCAAGCCAGGTTGTTCTCCTCTACCCTGGGAGCTGACGTACCTTGATGTGCGGGCGGATGTCCACTTCGCACGGCCTCAGATTGCACAGGCGGCTCTCCTGCTCAGGCCAGCAACGGGCATTGGCATTGGACACACGTGTGGAGATGCCCAGGCCGCAGCTGGTGGAGCACAAGCTCCAGGGGCTTGTGTAGGAGATGCAGTTCCTGTGCTGTGGTTCCACATCCCCCATGTTCTCTGTGGGGAGAGTAATTCCCCATGAGCGCTCAGCTCTGTGAGTCCCTGCATGAGTCCCAGTGTCACCAAGCTCAGGGTTAGGGTCCGCAGAACTTAGAGAGACAGCGAATGTCACCCTGGCCATCCCACCAGCATGAGGAGGTTCTCGGGGAGAAAAGACATGTTTTAAATTCCTTTCCTTTCTGAGCAAGCGAGGCAGCGTGGAAGAAGGGAGGGAAGGTGATCTCTGGAGACAGACGGGCATGGGTTCAAATCCTATCTGCTAAAAGCTGTGTGCTCTTGGAGAACTGACTCACACTCTCTGAGCTCAGGCTCTTGTGTAAGACATTAATCTCTGCCTTGTAAAGCTGGTAGACTCAAAGAAGCTGTGGATACGTACTGGGATGGCAGCAGGCAGCCTGCCAGACGGTGAGGATACGAAGCTAAAAAGACCTTGGTTCAGCCTGCAGGGATCTAGTTTATTTGGAGAAGTTCAAAGGCAAATGCTTAGATCTTAGCAGCTGATATTTCAGCTTGGTAGCACCGAGAACATAGTGAATGAGGGGACAAGGGCTTCAGCCCCAGATGTCCTGGGTTAAACTCTTAGCATCACCACTAACCAGCTGAGGCATTTTTGAAGAGCTGGCACACCTGTTTTCATTTCCACCTGTGAGTGGGTATGGTCATCTCCTCTGTCCTCATCAGGCCCAATATAATTGAGCCCAACCAAAGCCCCTATTGTTGAGTTGGTTCTGATTCCCAGCAATCTTCCCCTGAATGTCTTTGTGAGAGGAGACTGCTCATCTCTCTTCTGAGGAGTGGCTGGTGGGTTTGAACGGCTCACCTTCTGTGTAGCAGCCTGGCACACTGCACACTGTACCATCAGTGCTCTTTTAAGGTCTATCTGCTGTGGCTAGGTGTTGTCATGTACGACTCTCTACCCCTTTGTAAATGTCAGCAAACAAGAGCTTTGTGTGGGCTTGCAGCTGGCTAACTGAACACCTCCTGGATGATCCTGTGAATTTGTGCATCCCGGCAGCATCAAGGACTCCTCAGGACCGGACAACGAATTAGAAAAGGGAAAAGTGAGTACACTTGGAACTGAAGAGAAAAGCGGAGGTGGGGCAAGGGAGGAAAGCCAGGTGGAAGGAGGAGGTGGGGAGGAGGGTAAGAGCAGAGGGGAAGGGAGATGGAGGAAGGAGAGAAAAAGAGAGGGGGAGAAATGGAGAAAGAGAATGAAAACAACGGGGAAAGTAGAAGGGAAGAGAAAAGAGAAAGGCAGCAAGAGAGAGAAGGAACAAGGATAGAAGAGGAGAGGGTGAGGGAGGAAGGGAGAGAGACTGAGAATGAAAAGGACAAGGGCCCTGTCCCTGCCACTCTAAGCCATGGGATATGCTAGGGACCCTGGAGAATGAATGCGTAAGTGAAAAACTGAGAGAAGGGGTCAGAAAAAAAGACCAAACCCCTTTGCTTGGGAAGCAGAGGGACTGGTTCCCAGGAGCAGGGGGCAGGGCAAAGCAGGTAAGAGGGGCAAGTTAGAAGGGTGAGGATCTTTGAGCTCTGACCTCAGGGGGTGACAGGCCAAAGAGGACAGTGGACTTGGGTTTCTGGGTGACTGAGCTCATAGGGTTTCTGCATCTCTTAGGTCAGAAAGGGGTCACTGGGTCACTCAAAATGGAAAAGAGGCCCCTAGCAAGGGGACAAAAAGAGGCAGCTCCCCTAGCCACTCTCCGGACCTGCTGCCCTGAGTTTGCAGGGAACAGTTCTTAGGGCTTTCTCCCATTACTTAGCCCTTGCTCTGCCCCCATGCCTTTTATGCTTCGGGCCATTCAGAGCTCATGCTAGGATTTCCATTTCAGACAGGAACATGAGGGCTCAAGGGAGTAGCAGCTTTCCCAAGGTCATACATAAAGTAAGTGGTGAACCCAACCTGTGTCAATTACAGGCCCTCACAGTCCTAGAGGGTCTGATGCCTACACTCAAGGGTTGCTCAGCTACATCTCTCCAGGCCCTCCCACTTCACGCCTAGCCCCGCCCCGCCTTCCGGCACCGCCCTCCCCCACAAGGACCACGCCCACAGCCTGCCCCGCCCTCCCCACTTCATGACCACGCCCCCCGCATCAGGCCCCGCCCTGTGTCCAGACCACGCCCGCCTCCCCCGGCCGCGCCCCTGCATAATAACCATGTCCCATCGCCTGACCCCGCCCCTGCATTATGGTCACGCCCCGCCTCCAGGCCCCGCCCCATCCCTGCATCATGGCCACGCCCCACCATCTGGCCCGCCCTCCTAGCGTCATAACCACGCACACCTGCCGGCCCCGCCCTCCTCCCTTCATGACCACACTGCAGCTCCCGGCCTCGCCCTCACGTCATGACCACGCCCCTTCCTCCAGCCCCCTGCATCATGACCACGCCCCTCCTCCCAGCCCCCTGCATCATGGCCACGCCCCACCACCTGGCCCCGCCCTGCGTGCCCCCACCTGAGGCCCCGGTGTCGCGGGGTGTGGTCTTGCGTGGCCTGCGGGCGTCGTCGTCACACACCCACTGCTCGCAGCAGCGGCCGGGCACGCGCACCCGCCGGGGGTGGCGGCACCAGAGGCGCGGAGGGCGCGTGTGTAGGCACAGCGGCGTGCAGCCCAGGTCACCGTCGATGCACGTGCAGTTGTACTTGCAGCTTAGCTGGAAGGACTGGCCATTGTCATAGCGCACGCCATCCAGGACGCAACCCACGCCGACCACCTCTGCAAACACAGACACACGTGGGGTCAGCGGGTGGGCACAGCTCAGGGCCTGGCCGGGACACCACGTGGCCTCCCCACATCAGCGCCACCGAACCCCCACCAACCTCCCCCAACCTGGGGGGCCCATCGGGCAATGGCAAAGACGCGGCAGGCGTGGCACCGTGGCGCCGCAGGGGCGGGAGTTTGGGGCCCCTGTGCATCAGGAGAATGTGGGTCCTTTATAGCTTAAGCTGTCACCCACTCAAGGAGACCTGGTGGCGCAGTGATTGAGCACTCGGCAGCTAATCAGAAAGTCTGGCAGTTTGAGAAGGCTGGCATTATTAATGAATTGATTTTAATTTTTGTAAATTGTGATTTGAATGAAAGTTTACAAATCTTCCTGTTTTTTCAATCCATTCTTTATGCACATTATATATTGTCATGTTAATTACAACAGACACAACATACATTTCCCCACTTCTTCCTCCGTGAATCCTTCTGTCCTCCCCCTGCCTGTATTCAGGGTTTGGTCAAGTACTACTCTTGTTGGCTTCACACACTGCTGATTCTAGGGATGGAGGGTGTACTGGGTGTTACTGCTGACGGTGTAGCCCCATCTGCTGTTGAGTGAAAGCTGACGGGAGGGGCTGGGTTTTGTTCCCACTTTGAAGAGGATCATAGTCTCTGAGTTCCACCAGTCTCTCTCTGACCAGTAAGGTTGGTGGTATGCGCCCAGCAGCAGGAGAAAGATGTGGCAGTTTGCTTCTGTAAAGATCTGTAGCTCTGGAAAGCCCTTGGGACAGGTGCACCCTATCTTGTAGGATCACTTACGAACTGGAATTGACTCTGTGTGCAACAGCTTTTTATCACCCACTAAGTGTCCCCCAAACCAACCACTGGTCTGGTACCAGGAGAGTCTGGGGCTGCTTGCCCTCTGTGGCCCCCACAGATACATACAAAGCCTGGCATTGACTGATGCTTTTCCCAGAATACTCTACGGTGAGGAAGGCAGGCATGCCACACAGATCAGGGCTCTTTGAAAGGTGTGCTCCATTCATTAATTCCATATGAACCAAGTGCTCTTACTAGGGAGGATAGAAGGAGAATTGATGCCTGTGAGCTGTGGTGCTGGAGAAGAGTATTGAATGTACCATGGACTTCCAAGAAAACAAACAGATTCATCCTGGAAAGGGTTAAACCGGGTGGCTCCTTGGAGGCAAGGATTCTGAGGCTCCGTCTAACATACTTTGGACATGTTGTGAGGAGGGGACCGGTCCTTGGAGAGGGACATCATGCTTGGGAGGGTGGAGGGACAGTGCAGGAGGGGAAGACCCTCTATGAGGTGGATTGATTCAGTGACTGGGGTCATCAGGATGGGTGTGTCGGAGACAGTGCGATTGGCACAGGTCAGAGCAGAGTTTAGGGCTGTTGTACATAGGGTCGCTTATGAGTCGCAAGCGACTCGACGACATATAACAACAACCACCACCACCACCACCAAGTGCTCTAGGATCCAGGGGGCATTATGATTAAAGCATCTGGCCGCCAACTGACAGGTCCTCTGTTCAGGTCTGCTTCTTGGGAGAAACATGTGAATGTGCGTGAAGATTCACAGCCTGGGAGAGTCAGAGGGTGGCTCTGCTCTGCCTACAGGGTGGCTGAGAGTCGGGATCCACTCAGAGGCAGAGGATTTGGTACGAGGATTGTGTTGCATTTAAAGTGCTCTATTCTGCCATGAACCAGAGACAGAGGACCTCTGGAGCTTGTAGAAGGACACCTGGTGGCTCAGAGTTTAGGTGCCCAGCTGCTAGGGGAAAGGTTGGTGGTGTTACCACCTTGTGCTCCAGGGTGGCGAGCTGTCTTCTTAAAGATCATGGCCTTGGAGACCCTCTGCAGAAGGCCTGCCCTGTTTTGTGGGGTCGTGGTCGGTTCAGAGTTTATACTCCAGTGGGATGGGGGCCTGCCTGACAGATGAAAGATATTCACACAGGATGATGGTGACAAGGGCCAGGAGGAAAGTGGAGTCCGAGGGAATTTAGTTGCAAATGTAATTACTTAGGGAAGACCTTATTGAGGTGGTGCTTCAGTAGTGCTGAGGATAGAACCTTCCAGGCTGAAGGAACAGTTGGACATTGGGAGCAGGACACAGTGGATGGGGTCAAAAGGGGGAATGAGTGCAGTGCAGAAGGGAGGAGAAGAGAGACAAGAGCAGCGAGGGCTTCAGGAAGCTGGAAAGCTGTTCCAGTCCAGAGCTGTACCTCACACCCTGCAGGTGCTCAGGGAGTAACTGTTGGATGGATAATTGAATGGTGGAGAAAACACACAGGCGTGGGGGCGATTCTGACACGCAGCTACCCTCCATTGCATTTCCAAGACTGTAAATTTTTACAAGAGGAGATTGTTCATCTTGCTCCTGTGGAGAAGCTGGTGGATTCGAATTGATGACCTTTTGGTTAGCAGCCCAAGAATTTGAGGGCAATGTGCCAGGTAAAGCAGATGGTTAACAATAAGAAACCCAAATGCAGTGGCTTGACCTAGCAAGTGCATCAGCAGGCGTAAGTGTGGGGGGAGATTGTGAGGTGGCCCCCGGTCGGGCAGCATCTCCGTTCTCAGAAATGTACTGGCCACACTGCTCTCAAGACAGATTTACTCATTCTTGGCACCATAAACCCTTTGTAAGCGGGTTAACCTCGATGCCCCGCGATTCTGTAAAGAAGGGCAAGAGAGGATGAAGTGGAGGGGACGTAGGTGGACGGTGCACATTGTCTATCCTTGTGTCTGACGCAGCCCTGACTGTGCCCTCACTGCTGGAGAGGATGTGGATGCCTGCACCGAAGGAGGAGTGGGCTGAAGCCCAGGTCCCAGCCCCTGGCGTGGGAACTTAGACGAGGTCAGCACTGGGCGCCTGGGAGTTCCTCCAGCACAGTGGTTCTCAGCACTGGTTGCACGTCAGAACCAGCTGGGGCCCTGTTCAAACTCCTGATGCCCACAACATGCCCCAGATTACGGGTGACACCCACATCTCATGTGTTCCTTTGTGTCACTCCCCGGGCCTGTGCATTGTGCAGGCAGGTTGCGGAGCCTCTGGGTCTCCTTTCTCCTGGGAGTTTGGCCGGGATCCGGGTGGGTAGAGAGAATTGTGCCTTTGACCAGCTGTCCTGTCAGAGTCTTGGAAGAGAATGGAGACCAGTGATGGTCACAGTGTGGCTCCATGTGGGGACCCAAGGGCCCCCTCCTGAGTTTCCCTCTTTCTAACCAGCTGTCTTGGTCATCTAGTGCTGCTATAACAGATCCCACAAAGAGATAGCTTCAACAAACAGGATTTATCCTCACAGGTTAGGAAGCTATAGGTCAAAGTTCAGGACACCAGCCCTCTGGAAAGGCCCTCTCTCTGTTAGTCACGGAGGAAAAGTCCTTGTTTTATTCAGCATCTATAGGTCTAGCTCTCCCAGGAAAATTTCATGTGTTCAAGCCTTCTCCTGTGTCAAGGAGTCTCATGTAATGTGTGCTCAGTCCAAAAAGTCTCACTTAGTTTCTCCTGTTTCCTGGTGACCCTAGGGGAGCTTACTTGTCTCTCTTTTTGGCTCTTGATCCTACTGGCCACACCCTAGCGAACACCCTTTACATCCAGGTAGGGCTGTGATGGGATTAGGAAGTGTGCGGTTCCACCCTTAATCATGAGTTTCTACTCCCTTACTGTACAGTCTTGAGGGCCCAGGCATGGAACTAGACCAATTCCTTCATTTCAAGCTGACTGTGGATAAGACCAGAGAACCGTGATTAAGAATCAATGGTTAAAGATCTGGCTGCTAACCGGAAGGTTGGTGGTTTGAACCCAGCAGCCACTCTGCAGGAGAAAGAGGAGACAGTCTGCTTCTGTAAGAATTTATAGCCGTGGGAACCCACGAGCAGCTCTACTCCCTCCTGCAAGGTTACCTGCTGTTGGAATCAAGTTCATTATAGTGAGCTCGGTATGTTGTTGTAATGTGTCATCGAGTCACCTGTGATTCACAGCCATCCCAGGTACATCTCTGAAGCCTGCCCTATCCTGAGGCAATCATCATCTCCGACAGACCCAATCCACTTCTCTAGTCACCGAGTCAATCCATCTCATCCTGGGTCTTCCTCTCCTGCACTGTCCCTCCACCCTTCCAAGCAGGATGTTCTTCCCCAAGAACTGGTCCCTCCTGGCCATATGCTGAGAGTATGTGACACAGAGCTTCAAAATCCTTGCCTCCAGGGAGCAGTTTGGTTTCACCCTCTCCAGGACAGACCTATATGTTCTAGCAGTCCATGGTATGTTCAACACTCTTCTCCAGCACCACAGCTCAAAGGCATTGATATTTCTTCTATCGTCCTTAGTCACTGTCCTCTCTGATGCATAGCAAGTAAATGCAATGACCATGACCTGTATTAGGTGCACCTTAATTTCCAGACTGTCACTGTTACTCTTCAGTACTTGAGAGAGGTCACTGATGGCACACCTTCCCAGTGCAATTCATCTTTTGATTTCCTGACTGCTGGTGCCAAGAGTGTTGATTATGGGACCAACCAAGCTGAAGTTATTAACAATCTCCAATCTCTTCTCCACCTATCATGAAGCTGCCAATTGGCCCCGTGGTGAAAATCTTTGTTTTCTTGATGTTGAGCTTCAATCCATATTGAAGACTATCATTCTCGACCTTCTACAGCAAGTGCCTCCCGTTCTCCTTAGTTTAAGGAAGCAAGGTTGTGTCATTTTCATAATGCGGGTTGTTGATGAGTCTTCCTCTAATATCACTTCTCCATGTGGAAATTAAAATAAGCAAAAAGTATTCTCTTAAGATACAGCCGTTGGTCTCTCCCTGCCTAGAGGAATGAAGGAAATCTAAGATAGATACCTGAAAATAGTTAGGCTGGAGAACTACTGGGTCACGCCACCTCCATCCTCTATGACTCTGAGGACAGAGGAACCAGATGATGTCCAACTACCACTGCCAGCCACTCCGAGAAGGATCAAAGGAGAGGGTCCTGAGTAGAAT